AGGGAGATGTACCGGGACGATTACTAGGACCAGGAGGGTAGATTCAACTACGAGGGCGGGGAAGACGACGATACGGGGAGACTAGTGTGCACCTGACCGGATATGCGTACGAGCGGGATACACAGATCAATAGATTTTGAAATACACCGGGAGCTACGACCGGAGATGGAATGACAAACTGATGGAGTGGATATGTACAAGATGCTATTCACCGCCAACAGAAACTCGCTACGGACAAAGCTACTGTACGGGAAAACGCCACTATATAACATGGAATGCAAGGCTTAGGCATTCCTTTCGAGCACAGAGGCTTTCAAAGCCACCCTCCTGATGAGACCCGCTATGTGGGCAGGCGAAATCGGTCGGGGGATACCACATGTTGCTCTCAGCGGTTTCAAGCAATTTACATTCGTTTTGGCTCTGCTTTGCGTGTGTGAATTTGGCTATGGCTGCAAGAGCTGTTTAGTCGCAGCTCTCCTACTCGTGGGCTCATAGTAACCGTCAGCTTGCTCGCGCTGGGCGGTGGCTGCGTCGACATATCGCGTTAGATTGCGTCTGCAATAAACTACGTGGTATTACGAGAAGGTATACCGAGGAGAACGACGGGGGTAGTGAGGGGGTCCTAAGAATACACGGAACCCTCCGGACACGGAGGCGGGATAGACTTTTGGGATCTAAGAGACGGGGGTGAAGAGATAGTTTATGTTTAAGGGGGACACGCATCGGAGGTTGACTGCTATTGATAAACGAGACATATGGGCATACGCAGGGCGAATTCAGCCACGGGGCATATAAGTAGGAGGGTATGGAAAGAGGTGGAAGATCAGTACGCTGCCTACTATATGGAATCGGCATAATCTTAATAGGCATCCGTATGATCATCATCGGATCGGCTTCTTAGACATGACGACACCTTGTCCGAGATGCGGGAGTGATGTTAGAGCGACTAGGGGACGTTCCACAGTACATGCACGGCTCATCGAGGCGCTGGAAATTACGTAAGAAGCACTATAGAACCCATGCATCATATGATTGGACTAGTAACTGACGACAATCTGCGGGCTGCACTTTACGATAGGCTTATGAGTCCGCTGATTAGAATCGAGATAACATTACTGACCTTGCGTACGAGGAGGAGGATGCGTTACAGAGAAATCATTGATATCTGGGGGGATTAAACGTGGAGACAGACCGGTTTGACGACGGATCTTTAATCCCTGAGCTAAGCTTTCTAGGGACGACTATACAACATAGTCTTAAAATAGGCGATATTCGAGGAGACATCGGCGGTATACACTGACGGAGGTAGTGAGCTCGTACTTAAGTAAAGGTGAACGAGGAAAAATGTTCCTGACTGATGGCCCCGGAGGGGGTGGACAAGGCAATACGAGTGCAACACCGATATTCGACAACAGAGGAAATCGGAATGCAATCACCGGGCAAGGCTATATTGGCACTAATGGATTCGCAAGAGGAGGAGAAGGCATAGGAGGAGGTGGTGGCGTATGCTATAACTGCGGGAAGCCCGGGCACATCGCCCGGGACTGCTGGGCAGGGAGAAACCGGAACTCTGGAAATCAACAAGTGGACTCGGAGTTAGAAGAAATGAAGGAACATTTTAGACATGTCAGGCGGGAAAGACGTGAGATGGAAGAGAGGCGGAAACTGGAGGAAGAAAATAAGGCTCGAGAAGAAGACGCGCTCAGGAGGATCCAGGATTTCGCACGAAAAGCGGAAGAATTTAAGCTTCAACTGCGGGCAGAGCTCATGGAGGAATGATGGAGGAACAATGTAGTAGAGGAAAAAGCAGCACGGAAGACAAGAAACTCCAGCAAGAAGACGAAGATGAAATACTCAGATCCGCGAAGCAACACGAAGTCGCGACGTGGAGCGAATACCAGAAAGGGAAGAGATGAGACCAGCGAAGATACGGATACTGGGACGAACACAGGAGATGACACCACAGACTCATCCACAACAACGACATCGGAATCAAATGACCAAGAAGCAAGACAGAGGAGCCGTACCCGACGAAAGAAGAAGCGCACAACGAGAAGATCCAAGAGATCGAAGGGGAAAGGAAGGGTCAAGGAGAACAATACTCCTTCGAGGGTATACGAGAAGGGAGAATGCTCCGGGCAACAAAGAAACCCAAGACGGATCAACGAACACATGCATATGAAAGACGACACGGAGACGGAGGCGGAACCAAGAACTCCCTTAACTGGGGGATTCAAAGGACTAGCTGCAGGCTGTTCACAGAAGGGACTAATAGAATACTGCATCTCGGCGCATAAAATCTACTCGTCGAAGAAAGCGGACGTGTTGAAGAAACTATGTGACCAGAAGGGGATAAAGTACACGAAGAAACCCGAGGCGGTGGAACTCCTAGCGAGACATCAGGTGGAGTTGGCATACGATGGCTATGAAGAGGATCGGCAGACGACCAAAGAGATGACCAAGACTAAAGCGTCTGGTTCACCTAGGAAGGAATTCAGTAAGGATCGTACCACTACGGAGAAGAAGATGCAGAAGGCGGTACCAGTCATCATCAGGTCGGCACCGATCCAGCCCGCAGAGACATCCGACTGACGCCCAGCAGCCCCCTCAAACGGGATGCTTTGGGAATGTGTAATCTGATGGCTCCACAAGAGGACTACGTTGAGGGAGCAGGGTGTGATGGGAGAAGTGGCGCGTTCCGTGGAGGCTGCGATTACAACGACCACACTGATGTTGGTGGTCCAAGGACGGATCCCATGGCTAACTAAGTACCTTGCTAGGACACAGGACATAACCACTTTGTTGAACTTCCAAAGCGGCGGAGTGTACGTGGTCGCCAGTCCATGGTCGAAGAGGACGTGCATGGGTTGTACGATCAGGCCGATGATACAGCGGTGGAGGGAGCATTGTAGGAACGCACTAAACGATTCACTAGGACTTGCACCTCACTTATACCGGTGGCTGAGGAAATTCGGGACTGATAGGTACTTGATTATACCGATTAGGCATGCGGATAGCACGGATGACTTTGCAGTAGAAACAAGACTGATTGTGGAATTTAATCCGAGTCTTAACTCGCGGGACCTGGGGAAAATTGAGAAACTAGCGAGAACAAAGAATTAGCGTGGGAGGAGGGAACGAAAAGATAGAGCGAGACAGGAAAGTAATGACCGAATAGTTACCATCCGCGAGCGGGGAATAGACTTCGCGTCAATTTTGAACTGGCTGACGGTGAACTTGGGAACACGAGATAGGCAGTTGAAATGCTCGGGGGGTACAGTATGGTTAGATGGATGGAGGAAAATCAAACGCAAGTTCGGTGACTCGATAATCGAATTAGGGGGGCAGACAGCTAAACTGCGGGAGGCTAAAGAGGAGATCCAGCGTGGATGTGAAATGAGGGTGAGGCAGATTGTGAAGTCAAAAACGACTTCCGAACGGAACAGGGCCATGCTGACTGCCTGGCTGAGAAGACCCAAGTCGGACTCCCGATTGGTAACTCTCACGACCAGGAAACTTATCGGACTGTATAAGACAGTGGGTCTGTTCACGGAGAAGCAAACGAAGCATAGGCTACAGAGTAAATTGGATAGGGTGATTGTGAGGAAGACGGAAGTGAGTGTACGAAAGAGGGTGAACGTAAAGATACCTTTCGACTCTCGGTTACGGAGAAATGGAATTAGGCAGGTAACGGAGAGATTGATCGAGAATATGGAAGGTGACAGGGCGCTGACCGACTTCTTGAAGACGAGAATCCGGATAGTGTGGACGCGTAACCGGAATGTGGCGGAGCTGTTGCACAACCAGAAGCGTTTCGCCTGCGAGGACGAGCATCCATGTCTGTGTCGAACTACCGATCTCCCGAAGTACGAAGGACATGTTCTCACGAGGTTCTCGAAATTGGAGGTACCTTGTTTTTTACGGGATTCGAAGAATGTGACGTGCTCGGGGAAGGCACAGAGTCTGGATACTATCTGTAAGGCAATCCAAGATGGAGCTAAACATCTCAAGATTAAGCAGATGCCGCGCGTAGAGGCTGCGAAGATATGGATGGAGGCTGGACCGATAGGGAAGTCAAGTCCTGGGGGGCGAGTTTCGCTAACCTGGCACTAGCTCCTATCGATCGTAACCAGGGCGATATAGCGGTACTATGCCCAGTGCTATACAGGCACGGGTTTGGGAAGACATTCGCCTGGAACTCGAACTACGTACGGATCGGGATGCTGGACGCAAAGAAGGACATTATCAAGGTGAGCAAGGAAGAATTCATGAGATGCGGGCTTGACAAGGTGGGACCTTGGAGACCAGATGGCCGCCTGGGGATAGCCTATGTAATCCCGAAGCATAAAGACCTCGCGCACTAGAGACCGATAGCCCCGGCCCCGGCCGACCCGGCGGCACTAGCACAGAGGAGGATCACGAGAGCCGAGCACCAGCTTCTGAAGAGACTACCAGCAAAGAGGACATTCTATCTGAATTCGGTATAGGACCTTGCTGAGAGACTTGAGGGAACATCCCAGCAACTGAGAGCGGCAGGTTGCCAACAAGCGGTGGGTAGATGCTATGACGTGAAAGAGATGTTCTCCCACATACCGCACGAGGCGGTTATCCAATCGGTCTTGTGCTTATTGAGATTGTATGAAGACAAAGGTTGTCGGCAGGTTCGGGTGTCAATGAGGGGGAAGCTGTGTATTATTAGTGACAACAGGCGAAAGATGGAGGGATATGTTAGCCTGTCTCTAGAAACGATCATGGAAGGTGTGAAGTATGATCTCAGGCATTCGATAGTAAGATGCGGGGATAAGATAGTCAAACAGGTGTTTGGAATCCCAATGGGGAAGGCCACTAGCCCCATCCTGGCATCCATCACCTGTGCGATGGCAGAGATGTGGTTCATTAGGGAGCTTGGGAGTGATAGAAGATTGATCGGGGGTTGGCGGATTATGGATGACATTACCATTATCGTCGGGATGGCCCACCGAATCAGTAACACGGAGTATCCGGAGAACTTGTTCGAAGACTTCGAGTCCATCTACGACAAGAATCTGGAAGTCATCCGCAAGGACGAATGTGGAGTAGCATGGGACTTCGTGGGAGGCAGCGTGATGATCTGTCAATCACCACTGCAGCTCCATTTTGTACCAAGTACTAAGAACACCGAATCTCTGTACAAGGAAGGAAAGTTGGTATTCCAGACGATGCAGAATTACAGTTCCTACTCGGCCAAGAGCGCAAAGAAAGTTGTGCTGACCACCACGATCAAGAGACTGTGGGACCAAACCACGAGCAAGGAGCTGGTATTAGGCGCGATCGGTTTCGCTATATGTGAAGCGAACCTCTGGGGGTACCCCCCGGAGGTCTCTCTCGGTGCCCTGGCCAATTTGGCCAAGGCTGTGCCGAATAAGGCACTTCGTCACATGTATTCAGCCCTCGAAGACACGACGGATTGTAACAGGAAGGACAAATGCCGGATCAAGGACTCGGTCGGACACAAGTAGCAGTGGAATGATAGCCGGCTAAATTTTGAAATTTTGAAATTTTGATTTTAATCGTAAATTTGTTCTGTTTTTTTTTTTTTGGGTTTTTTCGAAATTCGTTGGAAACTCTACCGGGATTTTGCGGTTCGACGCACGGATGCAATCATTTTGGAAGCGGGTTCTCGGAGTTTTCCGGCACTTGCTTTTTTGGACGGACCGAGAACTAGAGACCGACGGCAAATCCGAGAGTCGTACCGAAATTCGATAGATTCTAATAGGGAGATGTACCGGGACGATTACTAGGACCAGGAGGGTAGATTCAACTACGAGGGCGGGGAAGACGACGATACGGGGAGACTAGTGTGCACCTGACCAGATATGCGTACGAGCGGGATACACAGATCTGTAGATTTTGAAATACACTGGGAGCTACGGCCGGAGATGCACTGACAGACTGATGGAGTGGATATGAGTCTTGGCCGCCGTTGTACAAGATGCTATTCACCGCCAACAAGAACTCGCTACGGACATAGCTACTATGCGGGAAAACGGAACTATATAACATGGAATGCAAGGCTTAGGCATTCCTTTCGAGCACAGAGGCTTTCAAAGCCACCCTCTTTATGAGACCCGCTATGTGGGTGGGCGAAACGGCTCGGGGGATACCACATGTTGCTCTCAGCGGTTTCAAGCAATTTACATTCGTTTTGGCTCTGCTTTGCGTGTGTGAATTTGGCTATGGCTGCAAGA